TCCACCCCACCTTACAGTTAAAACCTCGCAAAAAAAAAAAAAGTGGCCACTCGACGTCCACTCTAATCACTTTCTTGCCCGCCTCAATCCCAGCACAGATAGACCCTGTGCACTTGTTCCTTTAAGATTTCTTACCCCTCTGTCGACAGTCTCTAGCTTTACCAACACGACCAGACTGTGAAGGCAGGGACATGGCCACCTCACCAGTTGCCAGATCCTCAGTACTTGGAGTAGTGTCTCATAGCTGGGGGCTCAAAAAGATGAGCTGAATAAAGAAATAAATGAATAATGAAGTGTGCAGGCCCAGCCTCCGTGATGCAGTTGGAAGTGTACTGAACGGCAAGGTTAGAAGCCACAAGGCGTGTGCACCACCGCGATGTCGATGAGCTGGAGTGCTATGGGAAGGGGGTCCCAGCCAGACGAGACCCTACGGGGAGTGCCTATCTCTTTCTTATGCATGCATACACACTCTCTCATTAATTAAAATAGAATCACAAATGAATTGCATTCTGGGTTTAAAAAGAGAAAAAAATATTAAATTATTGCCCTCGGGTTCCTCAAAGTAGAATTTGAAAACTCAGCGATTCATCGATTGTTGCCAGCCCCACCCGATGATTGTAGTCAGCACTAATGGTCACACTTGCAGGTCAGACTGTGGCTTGGCTGACCCGCTGGGCTCCCTGCAGCGAGGAGAGGCGGCGGGCTGTGGATGAGCCCAGGTCTGCCCTGTGTGTGTGCGCCCCAGGCTTAGTCTACAGGGATAGTAGCTCTTCTCCTGGCGGCTCCCTGGGACCAAGAGCAGCCCAACTGCATGGGTACATCTACTGCCTTTGATCACGTCCCTTCTGCTGACATTCAGCTGGTTGAAGTGAGTCCTGTGGCCGATGAATAGGGTAGGAAGGGGAGGGCCCTAATGTTTGCCGAATAGCAATGCAAGTCATCCCAGAACTCGTGACCATGGGCAGAGATTCAAGAAACCAAAGTTGAATGGAGGATGGTTTTGTGACCTAGAAACTCTCTGAACACAAGGGCTGAGGTTGTCGAAAAGAAAGGGAGAGAAAGAGAGGGAGAATTTGCATGCATTATCCTGCAGGGAGAGAACCTTGGCAGTCAATGCAAACACACCCACGCCATTGCCAGAAGCCTCCATTGTCCAGGAGGGTAGTGACAATGTGGGGCAACTGACCCTAGGGCAGTGTGATTCAGGGGTGCAAAGCAAGAGATCACGACCTTCATCCTTCTCCCCACCGTTCCCCACCTCCAGCAGGTGGATCCAGACCAAGTTTTAACTCCAATTTCAACTTTAAGCTGCAGCTGCTGTCGTTGCCTGGGGACCCCTATCCTTTTACATGTTATTGTAGATCAGTTGCCCGCTGCTGCAATAAAGAACTCTCAATGGGTTGTCTGGAATTTCTAAATCAGCGCTGCAGAGAGCCTGGCGGATAAAAAAACAAGACAGGCTGCCCTTCAAGGGTGATAAGTACTAGACTTAAGCAGACCACCTAAGATCAGTCCCCTCCCAAATACCAGCTCCAAGAGGGAATCCACTTCTGCCACCATGAGGCCAATGCAGCCCCTGTCTGGGCTGCCCCCACAACCTCACCCTTGACAGCAAGACATTCACCATTGTCAATGACTTCCTGGTTCCCAACAGTTTTTGCAGTTATGGGGTGGAGCAGAGAGGGCTGCATGGTCAGCTGTCAGATCAGTCATCATCAAATTAGACTACTCAGGCCCTAGGGATACAAGGTAACTATATTTTTGTTTGTTTGTTCAATTTATTTCTTGCCACATGAGCAAGGGACAGAGAGGAAGAGAGTGATAGAGAAAGCAAGAGATGGTCACTCCCAATAGAGTCTTCATGCCACCATCCTCCCCAGGTCTCACCTGGCCTGCACACAGGGGCACTCCTGGCTCGGGGAAGTCCTGGGAGATGAACTCCTTTCCCATGAGGTCCAGTTGTATGACCGCTGCACCTTGCCTGGACCCTCCATGATGACTTCCTAAAGATTCACAGGCATGGACAGCTTTAAAAGTCAATTGTCCTCCGCGTCCTCGGTGGACCTTCTTTTC